CAGAAAAAACGAAAACCAATCCCGGGGCTGGACAGAAATGCTCACCTCAATCTATGGCTGTGGCTGGTGATGAACAGAAATGTTCACTCCAATCTACCGCTCGGAATAAGTCTGGACATGGCGGATCACCTCGTGATGTAATACAAAGGCCAAGGCGTAAGCGCATTTGCAACGCCAAAGCCAAAAGGAGAAAGAGAGCGATAAAGGTGGGAGTGGCAGCAACTATAAGTGCACCCTCCTCGTCCCCCACTCCAGCTTCAATAGCAGGAGCACTTCCTGTGGCGGGCTCCAAAATCTCCGCCTTGAATGAAGGCAAGGAACCGGCTGCCCTTGCAGGAAAGCGTCCTTACTTGAGCACCCCCCCTGGAGAGAACCCCAAGAAGGTTGAAAAAGCCGCGCAACGACAGTAATGTCGCTGCACCTTCCAAAACCTTCACGAAGGCCGAAGTGAGACACCTTAAGCTTGCCAAAGAGAATGTGTGTTCGTTGAGTCTTGGCCTACACCTGCCAATATAAAGAATATGTCTCCTAGTGGCCTGTCCACCTTCATGGAAAGGATAGAATGGACGATGACCTAGGAGGACAACTCCTCAAGGGGATCTACAATGGTTCACATGTGGTCTAAGTGATGTGGGTCTACACTCACCCTCCCTACTCTATAGATACAGAAGCCACAAACCACATCGGACCTCAAAGCCAACATACATAACCTATGACATCGATGAAACTCAGCCTGATTTATGCGCCAAAGTCATGGAAAATTGGAAGTTTCGGATGAGCTCCACTCAGAGAAGCCATGGCGGACATTTGAACGATGTTATGTCACACAAATAATGGCATCAATAGTTCTTTCAAACGAACAAAAAATTTTGATGATATCTAACACACACTCTGTTTTATGGCTCCATCATTTTACACCAGAATCAAAATATCGTCATCTGAGTGGACTGTACCTGGTGAACCGACTCCAAAGCGTGCAAAGGCGCAACAGTTGCCTGCAGGGTTATGATATCATTATTTTGGGATGCGCATGGTATAATATTCATCGACTATAGTGTCGAAACCATCAACAGCAGTTATTACAAAGTGTAATTGGAGCATTCGAAGGACGAAATCACGAAAAACGGCCCCATTTGAAGAAATATAAAGTGCTGCTTCATCATTAAAATGCACCGTGTCACAAATCAATGAATACGATGGCAAAATTGCATGAATTGGGCTTCGAATTGTATCCGCATCCACCTCATTCTCCAGATCTGCCCCCATCGACTTTCTTTTGTTCTCAGACCTCAAAGAAATGCTCTCTGGAAATAAATTCAGCGCCGATAAAGAAGTAATTGTCCAAATTGAGGCCTATTTTGAGGCTAAAGACAAATCGTGCTATAACAATAGTATCGAAAAATTGTATGACCGCTTTTTTCGTTGTATGGCCCTCGAAGTTAATTATATTGAATAAATAAATGAAATTTTATCAAACAGAAATACTTTTCAGCCTAACTGTTATATGGTCAATAGAAAAAGAGGCATATTTACTATGTAATTAAATGAGGTGCTAAGGTTTAAATCAGAAGATATTTTTGTCCGCCGTACTACAGAACATGTCTCTAGAGAGTTTCCAATTCCACAAATCGTTCGACATATTCCGAATTCGTACGTTGTATTCCTCGCCATTGGATTCCTGTACGTACCTTGTTCAACATCGTAGCGACACTTGATGAATTCTAATAGCATGCCATTAAACTAATTACCTCGATAGGAGCAATCACCGCACCTTCTCTGTATTTATTTATTTCTGTAAACAGATAACAAATAATTATGTCGTGGTTTACGAGTCGTAAATGGAAGTCATTCAATTTTTATTGTTTCGTCATTTTTGTGAAGATTGTAAATCTAGAAAATAAGGGTGCCAAGAGGGCGCCGTGTAAATCAAGACTTACTTGAAAAATACTTACATACCTAATTGGAAGAAACTCTTTTGAAGGGGTCATATGGTACCTCTTAAAATGTATGGTTTCCATGGTACTGAAGTAAAAAATGAGTTTCAGCCTAATGGCGTCAGTTGAAAGATTGTGCGCAAGTGAAAATCTTGAAAGAGACGAAATACAACTCGGGAGAGGAGGAAATAAAAAGTCTTGTACGGGTTTCCTAAATTAAGATACTTTAACGAATCTTAAGGCCCCCCCTGACCGGTTGAATTGATACGCCAGCCGACTCGTCGAACAAACACATGACCTCACCTCGAAAGAATGCAGTCTGGAACCGCCGGTAAAATTCTAGACTAGTACCGAACCGTCTACAGAATTCTCGAAAGGACCTTTACCGATATAAGCCCGTCTTCTCAACCCAAGAGGGCAGTTTAGAAAGTGAATCGAGCGGCTAAACAAGAAATTCGAATAGTGGAAATAAATTAAGCGTTAGTTGCTAAGTGATGTAATAAATAAATTAGTTTGTGATTATTGAAATATTGTTGGAAATAGATTCGTTTAAGACAGTCAATTCATTAATTTGTCACAATACTAATTACAACTGGAATCTTTCCTGAATCAAACGTCATACGAAGGAATGTGGCAGGAAAATGGGAAAATAGTGACCTCTTATGATACGACTTTGCATATAGTCATAAATTTCCGTAAGTTTCATAAAATTCGTTCTTCGAACCAAAAAACGTTTATTTATTTTGTCGGGACTGGTGATAGGTGAATTATTAATCAGACGGACACGGCGTTTACAAATAATAAAATTTATTAATAACACCAACAAAAGGACAAACAGAAAAATACAGTGTAACCTCGTGGCGAGGAGAGTGAAAATTAGAATAAGCCAGGCCGAAATTCCAGAACAGAATGAAATGAATGCCTAGACTCGAAAATGTTTTTTGAAGTCACTTTCGAAATAATTGTCCCGACAATATAGTCAGGGTCATAAATATATTCGAGAAGGGTCGACCACTTGGGCCCTTGTCTTAATCCATCAAATTGTTAACAATGAAACAATCCAAGTGGCTTCGTTCTAAATATCCTTACGTTTTCCGGCAATAACCGTTGGGTTGGAGAGAAAAGAGTATTTCAATGATTTGCCATGATAAAATACAAACATGCTGAGTAAAAATAAGAAGAAAAGAATTAACATAAAAAACCCAAGCAGATGAATATTTTGTACGACTGCTCGATAATAGAGTTATGAAAAGTTAATTTCCCAACAAGAATTTATAATACAAAAAATGAAAATCAATAAAGAAATGCAATGTTTAGAGCCCTGGATCATAATTTTCGGTGCCATTGGAGAGAATTAAAAAAAAAGGAACTTGTGACCCAGACTACAAAAACACATGACATTAAAACTAACAAAATTCTCTAAAGAATCTAATATTTTTTTTTAACGAATTGTTACCGATTTTCTGTGTAGCATGACAGGAATCCACCACAACGCTGATCGTACAGGAATAAATATTCATAAACGCTAATATCGTATCCTCGAAAATAACGTTTCTATTTATGAAACACCCACTGAAATACGAACAGGAATACATTACGGCAACACGACACAGAAATACTGCTCAACAGGTGTATCGGGTGTGTAATTTTCAACGAGAATTGATTAAATCACGATGGCTTCTTTGTTCTGCTGAACTTGGTAATTGATATCGATTCAAAATAATGCAGTATAGGAAAACAAAGACTTCGGAATAGGGGACTGTTAGTACCTAGAAGTGGACGCATTGCAGAAGTCTCAATGAAACCAGAGGCTCTCGTTTCATCTGGTTGTCTCCTTACAGTGAAAGCTGCAGATACACAGAAAGTAATTTCCCATTCGATTACGAATGCTTTGCGAAGAATGTTGTTCAACAACGCATTTAGCCAAGCTAGCGTAGAGATACGTAACATATGGAAACCTCTAATCAAGCGAAAAACTACCAACTCCCGCAAAACTGTCATCTACCGCTAAAACCAATGAAGCGGTGAGAGGGAAGAGGGGATAGGTGAAAGCACTAGAATGACCTATAAATAGTCAGATCTAGGAGGAATAAGTCCAGTCATCANTAAAGAGATGGGATGAAATCAAAGGATGTAATCTTGCCAGGATCACCTTGGGCGAACCTGAGAAGCTGGCGCCGAAGAAATATCTGGCGATGACCAGGAAAAATCTACGCTTAACAGTAGGATTTCTGACTGGCCACTGTCAACTAAGGAAACATCTCCACAATATGGGGCTAGTGGACACACCTCTATGCAGGATGTGTGAACAGGAAGATGAGACTGTCAGGCATGTTCTATGCGAGTGCCCGGAGTTATCGTCAATAAGAGAGTGTGTGTTTGGCGAGTCTTGGCCTACACCTGCCGATATGGAGGAGATGTCTCTCAGTGACCTGTCCACCTTCCTGTAAAGGACAGGATGGACGATGACCTAGGAGGACAACTCTTCGGGAGGATGTACAACGGGTCACACGTGGCCTAAGCGCTATGTGCTCTCCCTACTCTACAGGTACAGATAGCCAGTCTTCAAGTATGCCCACTAACTATATGTGAAAAACATATAAGTTATGGTGTACATTTTTTTGTCGCGTGAATTTCACCAAAACTGATGCTCCAGTTTTCGGACCGTAACTTAAATTTTGTGAAAGGACTTCAGTCAAGCTCGTGTGAAATTATATTTCAAAGCCCAAAAAAATTTGATACCTTCTACTCATACCTCCCAATCCGTTTCAAGAAAAATTCGAAGTTATATATTTTGTCCCAACCACATTTCAACTCTACCGGAGTCATTCAATACAGAGTATATGGCTTCTTGCAGGAATCAAGTGCTGATACAGAACTCAAGATGATAAAAACATAGAGGACAAAAACTCATTCTGAAATTTAACCTAATCCTTGAGGCAACAAGTCATTAATGTTACACACCACACACGTGACGAAATACAGTCTTCTCTACAACCTAGTATCTCGCTCTTCATATATTTGAACATCATTCCAGTTTTAAAAGAGAATATTCTAAATTTTTACCTTCATCCAAAACGGATCGACGATCCTCAGGGAGGACAGAGCTTGCGGTAAAGGCATCTCAGCTTCCGGACAACTTCACTGGATTCACGCCACGTGAATATTCATCGTTTTTAATGAAGTGAATAATAATAAAACGCTCGGTTGGTACCTTATCGGAATGTTAATTGATATCAAGAGACGTAACGTAACTGGAAAAAATTTAATCTGATTCGGTGACGCGATAACACTTTGTCACAACATAAACATAGTTCGTCACGATCACACTTGATCTCGGTAAACATTGCTAGTAATGCCGAAGCAAATAAATGTCAGGGGCATGTGCTGGATGAAGGATTCGTTACCAAATACGGTTGGGTCTTTCACCACTTCCATAGTCCGAGATGATAGTGGTTGTATATAGTCCGGGAAAAAATGTTGGTGTGACATGTTGCAGATTATATTCGGGTCGAACGGCTTTTTGTTCCCTTTGCACGGCGACTTATAAGGTACTTGGTTCACAACCCAACTCTATTCGGGTCCCGGATTGCTTTTGGCGAAGGTTACCAGTTTTCTCGAGCATATTTCATATTTTTAACGAACTTGTGCAGAATCGTCTAGGGACCACCTTTCATCCTCCTTTCGCAATGAACTCATCTAAGATAACTAGGCCACCGAATCAGAGGAAAGTGTACAACACACACCATTACTGACTATCTAAATAACTCGCCATCGATTTTATTGTGATTTTGGATCAAATACTTTTAGTTGGTTCCTCTTCTTGATCTCTTGATGCCGGAAAATATTTGAAAACGAGTGCTTTTTCTCCCTTACGCAAAAGGAACTATCGGAGGGGATGATAATCTGAGTGGAATAGAATCTGTTTCAGATCCATTTTCGAGAATTGCATCTGGTGAAAAATATACATGAGATAAATCCTTGAAAATGAGTGCTGTCTCTTCCTTATGAAAAAGGAATTATCGGGGATGATGAAAAACTTAGTGAAATAGAACCTGTTTCAGAGCCATACACGTACATTGCCCCTGGTGAAAAAAAGGGTCCTATAAAAGATAAATCCTTGAAAACAAGTGCGTCTCTTCCTTATAAAAAGGGGATTATCAGAGATGATAAAAATCTCAGTGAAATAAAACCTATTTCAGAGGCATACACGAACATAGTCCTTGGTGAAAAAAAAGGGTCCTACAAAAGATAAATTCTTAAAAACGAGTGCTGTCTCTTCCTTTTAAAAAAGGGATTATCGGAGATGATTAAAATCTCAGTGAAAAAGAACTTGTTTCAGAGCCATACTCGAACATTGCCCCTGGTGAAAAAAGAGAGGGTTGTACAAACGATAAATTCTTGAAAACGAGTACTGTCTCTCCCTTATAAAAAGGGGATTATCAGAGATGATAAAAATCTCAGTGAAATAAAACCTATTTCAGAGCCATACACGAACATAGTCCTTGGTGAAAAAAAAGGGTCCTACAAAAGATAAATNATAAATTCTTGAAAAAGAGTGCTGTCTCTTCATTATGCAAAGAGGATTAACGAAGAGGATGATAATCTGAGTAAAATAGATCCTGTTTCAGATCCATATTCGGGAATTACATCTGGTGAAAAATATACAAAAGATAAATCCTTGAGATCGAGTACTGTCTCTCCATCCTCCAAAACTTCTTTCTATATTTTTTCACTAAACTTGATTCCAATACCAAACTTGATAGTACATTTGCGTTTTACTTTCAAAGTCGTAGGTTATGAAAGGTATGAAAAAAATAATGTTTTGAACGAATCAGTTTCATATTTAGTTATTTCTATCATTTTTATCATTGACAGGAAAATTGGGACAAAAAATAGTGTCCCTAAAATCCACTACAAAACGTTTTGTTTATCAAAGTGCACTTCATTACTCGAAGATAATGATCTTATTGACAAAGCAATACAAACACAGTTGGAAATGGATTTATGTTTGTTGACATACTTGACGAATCGATTCCGCCTCAATTCATTATTAAACTTAATATTTCAAGCTAATTAAAAACCGTATTTCCTTTTGTATGATTATAAGTCTTCTTGAAAAATATTGAACAAAAATGACATACCNATGGAAGTCCGAACTGATGAAGTACACCACGAAACATTGTCAATCACCTTCAAACAAAGAAATGAAAAATTGAAAATTAAAAGATTACAAGATTTTTCAGAGATTTCAAATCAATTTATATCATATGAGACAATGGAAGTCCGAACTGATGAAGTACACCACGAAACATTGTCAATCACCTTCAAACAAAGAAATGAAAAATTGAAAATTAAAAGATTACAAGATTTTTCAGAGATTTCAAATCAATTTATATCATATGAGACAATGGAAGTCCGAACTGATGAAGTACACCACGAAACATTGTCAATCACCTTCAAACAAAGAAATGAAAAATTGAAAATTAAAAGATTACAAGATTTTTCAGAGATTTCAAATCAATTTATATCATATGAGACAATGGAAGTCCGAACTGATGAAGTACACCACGAAACATTGTCAATCACCTTCAAACAAAGAAATGAAAAATTGAAAATTAAAAGATTACAAGATTTTTCAGAGATTTCAAATCAATTTATATCATATGAGACAATGGAAGTCCGAACTGATGAAGTACACCACGAAACATTGTCAATCACCTTCAAACAAAGAAATGAAAAATTGAAAATTAAAAGATTACAAGCCAAATTATTTCACGTTACGATTTTTAGTATCCACAATAGTCATCACCCGAAGACGATTATGTGAAAAAAATATCAAATACCAGTTGAACTTATGTCCTAGAATACCTACCACAGAGAAGCGACAAAGACGGTCATTTTGTGTCCCTTTTTCGTAGACGCATGCGTCGACTTGGTTGTCTCCACGTCATTCTCGGGCTTAGTTGTCTCCATTAGTCTGTGAGCACTGAGCAAACATAATGAGATAGGTAGTTAGTTACAAAAGGTACCTACCTAGGCTCTGTTTACATTAAAATTATGCTATTTAAGCAAGAGTTTTCAGGAGATAATTAGTTTTGAAGAATCCATCGTGAGAGAAACAGTAAAAGATTCAGCAATGTTTAAGGCACTTGAAATTGAAATTAAAACAATGCTCGAACAGGACAAGCGATGTGTGATATCTATAGATGAGATGGCTTCAAAATCCAATCTTTTTTTTGATACAGGATGTGATGAAATCATTGGTTTCGAAGATATTGGAGACGCAAATAAGAGGAATTCCATATGTAGAAATGTTCGCGTTATTATGGCTAGAGGACTTTATTCTCCCTGGAAACAACCGATTGCTTTTTTTTTCATTAAATCACAGCTACCAGCAAAAAATCTACATGATATTTTCGATAAGTGCATTTCTAAATTATCCAATATAGGTCTGCATGTTGTTGGCATTGTGAGTGACATGGGCTCTAACTTTTATGAATTGTCAAAGCTATTAGGGGTCACTTTAGAAGAATCTGAATTTGAGCTCGGTGGTAAAAAACTTGTTTATATTTTTGATCCAATTCATTTGATAAAAGCCACTAGAAACAATTGTTTAAAACATTCATTTCATTTTGAAGGCAAAAGTACATCTTGGTCTTTTGTGCGCTCTTTTTATGAGCCATCGGCAATTTTATAGATTCGCACCAAATCTTACCAAATCACATATCAATCCAAACAATTTTGAAATAATGAAAGTGAGTCTACAACACAAGTTCTAAGCCGTACAGTTGCCAGTGGAATGAATGCATTCGTGGCAATGAACTTACTTCCTGCTTCTTCTTTTGGTACAATACACGTAATAGAGACATTCAATAACCTTTTTGATTTGTTGAATTCGTGTTCTTTACTACATTCGAAATTCCAATTAGATTTTTTTGAAAAATCTTTAAATTTTAAATTCAAAGGACAAAAATGTCACAAATCGAGTCAGATTTATAAAATATTGGATTATTTCCATGAATAGTATAATTAAAATATGGGATGAGGTTTCCAAATCAAATTATAAATATTTAAAAACGAGACGACTCAATTCAGAACATTTTTTTGGTGCTGTAAGACAACAATGCGGAAATAATGTAAATCCGACCCCCATACAATTTCAAAGGGCATTCCGGAAGTTGTTTTGCCAAAATTATTTTCATTCCAATCATATGAATTGTAAGAATGTTTTAGATGATTTATTAATCAGTATAAAATCCACAAACGTAAATGATATATTTATATCAGATGAGAATCACTTTTCTCCAGCCCTTGCCATGAACCAGGTTGTCTATCACTCAAAATCTTCGGTTCGGAGTTGGGACACCGAACATCAAAGGATCCGACGTTAATGTCGCTTCTCTGTGGTAGGTATTCTCGGCTTATGTACAGGAAAAATATCGCCAGATCTAAATAAACATAAAAAATTGTTTCAAGGCTCTTTAAAATTTTGTAGATGTTGATATTCATCAATTAGATAACTTTCCTGATACAAACTACATATCAGAACTAATAAAAGCTACTTCTGAAAGATATTATTTCATTTTATAGGAAAGCAAACTAATTTTGAAGAAACAGAAGGACAGCTTCATTAAAAGTTAATCATTTCTCAAAAACAATTAATTTTTACATTCGTTCAAGAAAAAATATTTAATAAATCGGAGTGTAGTGCTCGTGTTTTGTCCTTAAAAAAATTCACTTTAGATGTGTATCGATAAAAATTAAATAAAGGTGTTATCGTCTTAATCCTTTATCGGGGGACTCCCTGAATATTTTTATGTTGTTTAATGGTCAACGTAACCATATGGTCACTTCAACTTCAAAACCCTCCCAAATCATATCCATGCCGTTTGACATGTCGCGGGCTACGTTACCATATAGTTACGTTGTTTTTGTGGAGGTAAAACAGCCGGTTGGTTTTCGCGCCAATCGAAATGTGTGTTTTTACGAGGTTATGCCTGTTGGTAGCGCTGCAGCGTTACAGGTTATGTGTGACATTCGTATATGAGTTTCAATTCCTACTGAAACCATAGTCATTTTATGTCTATAGTGTCACTGCTGTTTTGTGAAAGAATCAGTTAATATGCTGTTTATTTGTTTCCGATCCAATTTACACGAATATAGAAGCAATGTTTGAAATATGCGTATCCATATGGTTACATTGCCCATAATGAGAAAGTGTTTCATCTAGGTTTC